AGGGATCACCCCCGACGAAAACCACGACGATCTTTACGGAGTTTGCTTCTTCTTCTCCTCTTCTCTCCTATTCTCTCAAGAACCCTAACTCTCACTTTTTAAAAAGGGAAAAACTGATTTAAAATCAGTCTAACACCTTAATATTTATCCAAAAGAAAAGGCTAGGGAAAAGACCAAAATACCCTTACAATTTTCGGACTAACTTCCCTGCCAACAGCGCAACTTCGAAAGGGCATAACTCACTCATACAAACTCGGAATCACGCAAAATTGGCAGCGTTGGAAAAATCATTCCACGAGCTTCGCAAACATAACTGGAACTACACCTAAATCATCCTGATCTAGGAGTTATGACTGTTCAAAGTTGACCAAAAGCTCACTTTTCCCATACTTAACCAAATTTCCCAGATTTTTAATTCTTTCCAAAAATGACTATTTCCAATTCCAAGCTTCTTCATAGTTATTTCAAATTGCCGGATGTTACATTTATAATTAGAATTGGTTGAGTCGGTTAAGTAGTCACGTGAAAGTTGTTATGCCCACTTGTAGAGTACAAAGTTAGTTACAATAATTGTAATGTATAAATAGCTGTAACTTGGATCTGGTTCATATATGAAAACACTTTTTCTTCTTCTTCTTACTCAAAATGCTCTCTATGCTGTAGTCAATAAACCATTAATATGGTTTAACAAGAAGGGAAGATAAAAAGGGAGAGAAGGAAGGAGAAATAGAAGAAAGACATGGTTAATGATGATGATTGAAGAAACAGAGAGTCATGTGATGATTTTGAGAAGGAAAAAAAAGGTTGATTTTAGGTGGAGTGGAGTTGAATGAGTCGTTTGGGTAAGTTAAGGAAGAAAAGAATAGAAAATTTGGAGAAAGAGAGGTGAAGTTGGTGAAGAGGAAAGAATCAAAGTTGGATTAAGGCTATTGTTTTTTGGAGAAGAGACGCGGGAATGAACCAGGTCAGCCTGCTTCACTTTGCTGCCATTTGCGGAGTAGCTAATTCTTTTTCTTAAAAAAATGATAATTAAAATTTTGTTTCTAAATTAAAAAGCGAGAAAAAGAGTTAAGAATATGATTGAAACGGAGTAATGAAACTGTTTCACCATTAATTAACATTTTGAATTTGAGCGATTTGGACAACCAAAAAGATATAACTATAAACTATATACAAAACATTCTTGAATTATCATTTGGTCATAGATTTTAAAATTTAAATTTGTGATTTTTGAAATTTAAAGTTACATTTGTACATGTATTTTATTTGAAATTTTGTGAATGATGTCCCAAAAATCCAAAAAAAATGGCTCAAATTTCATGGTCAAACAGATATATAAATAGTTTACATAATGACTTATTGGGTGCGACCTACAAAATAAGGATCATAACAAAATAAAAGAGTAAAAAAAAATTATTAGATGGAGGTTAATTAAGAACAATAACTTTAAAAAAAATTAAATTTTCTTTGTAGAGACATAAAGTGAACAACTACCAAAAAAAGTAGAAAAAAAATCCAAAACATTAGACACAAATAGAAAACTTGGCCTACAAAATGTGCCATATAATTTCTCCATAGATGTGAATTATATAATATAAAAAAAATAATATGTTCAGTTCTTGTGTTATTGCATTATTCCTATTTTAGTTCATGTGATATCAACTAAAGCATATTTGACCTTTTTTTTAAGCAATGTATGTATTTTTGAACCTTTGACTAATGAAATTCAAACACATATTGCTTAATCAAATATCAAATATGCTTAGTCGAATATCACAAAAACTAAAAGTATTATCTTCACTATAATATCTATATATATAGATAGATTCGTCCATAGAAATTCATTTACGCTTCAAAGCGATAAATAATTGGCATGATTATCCACCATTAGCTTTCCTCCATGTTGAAATCTCCACTTTTGAGAAGAGTTCTTGCACAAACTTCTTTTGCTATTTTACTCCCAAAATGATTGATGAGAAGTCCTTCTAAAACAGCTCTTAGGTTTATTATAAAAGTTTTTGCATCAATCTCATCAACAAGCTTTGATTTAGGATATGCCAATTCCATTTTCTCTATGCTAAAACATCCATTTTTCCCCACCACTTTAGTCATGTCTTGAGTAGAGGGAAAATACATTGGCAAATTGAATGAGTCTACAAGAGATTCATCTAACTTTCCCTCTGTCAAAAAGAAAGAAACTTCAATTATAAATGTGGTGTGCAAACAGCCTTACCCCTATAGATAATCTCTCGATTCAAGTAAAATATAGATATTACTTACCTTATTTATCAAATTCATAAGACTGGAACCGGAAAAACTCTCAACTCAAATAAAATATAGATATTACTTACCTTGTTTATCAAATTCATAAGACTGGAGCCGAAAAACTCTCGACTCAAGTAAAATATAGATATTACTTACCTCATTTATCAAATTCATAAGACTGGAACCGAAAAAACTTTCGACTCCAGTAAAATATAGATATTATTTACCTCATTTGCCAAATTCATAAGAGTGGAACTGGAAAAAAAAAATTTCGACTCAAGTAAAATATAGATATTATTTATCTCATTTACCAAATTCATAAGAGTTGAACTGAAAAAAAATTTCGACTCAAGTAAAATATAGATATGATTTACCTCATTTACCAAATTCATAAGATTGGAATCGAAAAACTCTCGACTCAAGTAAAATATTGATATTAATTACCTCATTTATCAAATTCATAAGACTGGAACCGAAAAAACTTCGACTCAAGTAAAATATATATATTACTTACCTCATTTACCAAATTCATAAGACTGAAACTGAAAAAAACTCTCAACTCAAGTAAAATATAGATATTACATACCTAATTTACCAAATCCATAAGACTGAAACCGAAAAATTCCACGAGACGTGTATAACTTGAAAATGGTGAAATAAACACCATCCTTCATCCCGGGACAATCTCCTCAGCTCTTGTATTAAAGAATATTTCCATGTCCTTTTCAAATTGAGCAATATAAGCATTCACTACATCAATATTTGATGTACCATAGTGAATCAATCCCTTATTCCATGTTGGAGATTTCTCATCTAACAATTCTTTTGGAATCTTAGATAACCAATGTATAGCACAAGAAGAATGTGCAAAATGTATTGATTGCGATGGAAATAATCTACCATGAAAAGATCCTAGAACTCTAGATGCGTAGGGGAATGATCGAAAAAGAGTGTTGAAATCGTTTTCGACATGATCACTAAAAAATACTTGAAATTCAAGAATAATATTGTGGTATTTTTCCTTTACAACTTCTACAACATGTTATATAGCATGGAAAGTGTTTGGTCCAATTGAACATCCCAACTCTATAATACAAAATATGTGTGAAGAAGATAACATGACTTCAACATCAAGTTTTCCAATAATTGCATCTCTCACCATATCCTTTGAAGCATCTATTAGTTCTTTCTACATATATATAATCATAACATTAATAAATTTTGTAAATAAATTTTTAAAAAAAATTTAAATTGAAGAAATTAAATTAAATTAAATTAATACCTGCCGTTGGGAGTTATTGAAGTAGCTATAAGCACTATTACCATCATTCATGGGGTAAGATGTTGTCATTTTGGCTAATATTCTTCTTCTTCTTTTACCTTAGACGGATTCAGAATTTGAAATTTACGATTAAATTAATTTGTACATTGTAAATCAATTTTGTAAGATAATTACATAAATTGAATCGAAGATACTGAATTCTCATAAATTTGTTACTTCTACTTTAGTATAATTAATTTTATCACTACATATATTGTTTTGTTTCTTTAGCATCCTTATTTATCTATGTTATTATTTGATCATGTATATTCCAGCAGGTACTCAATGCACGAGTCCCAATAAGATCCTCTTTTACAGAGGCGACTTAAAGGGGAAACCATTAAAGCAATTGTTTTAGGCCCGAAAAATCGAAGGACCCAAATTTTTTATATATTGTTTACATACAATATTATAAATTATCAATAAAAGATACTAAATTTTATGTTGGTGTTTTTTGCAAAGGGATAAAGGTTATTCAAATAAATCATCCTAATTTTATTAGATAAACATGCAATATATGAAAAATAAATAATTTGATGACGACTCTTATAATTGAAACAACAAAGTGTCTTGTATTATAGTTCATATGTATAACTAATATGTGAACTAGACGAACCAACAAATCCGATTCATCAGTTTATTTCAAATGTGTAAGTATTTATAGACAAAAATGCCTTCCATAAGTAATCAACAAATTATATGTGCATTGCATTACATTTTATGTACCATTATATTAGGCTTAAGTCATCTACAACCACTTAAAGTTGTCCGCATATTTCACTTAGACACAAAGGCTGCTCTATGCTTTGTAAAATAAGGCTTATGCCTTAGGCCCCCAAATTTTGGGGGACCCCAAATTTTTATCAAGAATAAATTGTGTTAAATTTTTATAATTTTTTTTGATTATTTATGATAAAAAGTATAATATTTTAAAAGATATATTATTTCACCCACTTTAACATCTTTTGTATTTTGTTAAAAATAAGAATTAATAGTAAAAAGTGTTGAACAAAGTGAATTACAAATTCTTTTTATTGTTTTTAAATTTTAGTTTCAAACATTACAACAAGCATATTAACATGGAGTATAGCAAGTCATCAACTTCTTGAGATTCTATGATTCTACTCTTATCTTTATTTAATATTTGTCAACTTATTACTTATAGAATTATGTTAACAATTGATATGATAATTGCCTCACTAAAAGGATGTTTTTCAATGTTGAGCTCATAAAATCTTACCTAAAACTAATAACTAAAAAAATATTATTAAATACTGATAATTTTTATCTAAATAGTGTAAGAAAAATAAATTTTGAATAAATACGTATACGAAGTTTGTTTATATTTTAGGCCTCAAATTGAAATTTCGCTTTAGGCCTCCAATTACGTTGAACCGCCCCTGCTTAGACACCTCAATCTAGCCTTATACCTATTGAACACCTACACCAGCTCGAATTTGAACCGTTTGAACACTTTTTTAACAAATAACTACAAGTATAAGATGTGTGTAATACACTCGCGCTGATGTGGCAATTTGACGAATGAATAACGTACATATGGCATTTTGAGCCAAAATATTTATTAAAAATTATAATTTAAAAAAAAAAGAAGGGAAAAGAAGGTCTTTGTCCACCCATGGACCTTTGAGCCACCATCAGGTCTCTTCGTTCAACTTTTCCTTTTCCTTATTTGATTTTAAAGATAAAAAATTGAAATAGCAAACTACATATCCTTATTCGATTTCTTCATTTTTATCCTTTTTTTAATCTTTTCAGTTTCTAAAGAAAGTTCAAAGAAACCATTATTGGTGAAATTGATATGTTTTAGTGAAGAAAATTTTCAACTCTACAAAAGAATTTCTGAAATTGTTTGTTTGAAAACAACGCTTCTTCATTTTCATCCCTTTGCTCGTCTTTTTTAAGGAAAGAAATTAAACCGTTAATGAAGGAATTAAGTTGTTTT